AAAAAAAAAAAAAAAAAGAAATAAAGTAGTCTAGCAGATAGTGCTAAGTGTTACAGAAAAAATTAAGAAGAGGATGGGAAAGTCTGGGAGGTAGTTTGGCATTGTAAATGTGTGGACCTGAGCCTGATGTGGGGTAGGATGCCACGAATGTTTGTCAGACAAAGCCCCTGGCCTACACTGCCGCCTGGACATAGAAGGAACAGAGCTGGTTAGGCCAGGAGAGTTGGGGCTCTTTGGACAGAGCCATGGAGCTGCAAGCAGTTGCATAAGGATGGTGTAAAAATACAGCCCTGTGTCCTCTCTTCCCCTCCCTGCTGCCTTCCCTGCTGGGAAGATGCAGGCAGAGCGAGGGCCAGACGTGCCTGGGTGACTCATTCATTCCCACACACACCTCTGGGCAGGACGACACGGCCAGAACTCCAGCCATGGTCACCCTAACCTGAGCTAGCGTCAGTCGGGTCATACAGTCCTCTCGGGTTGAGCTTTCCGGAATGAAAACATCCTCAGCCACCGCAGCACCCCCAGGCAGCCTGCAGCCTCCCGGCGCAGGCGCACTGGCTCACACACCCCCACTCCCACGTGTGCGCGCACACTCGTGTTTGTTCTCACTTGACACAGCCGCGTGCTCATGCACACACAGTCACCGGGCACGTGGCCTACCTCTGTCGCACAGGGCCCTGTGGGGGCGGACACACACCTCCGAGGGACACGCACCTGCATGTCGCCTTCCTCCTGCGTGCTCAGCTCTCTCGGCTCCACCACTCCATCCCGCTCCCACCATGCCTGCTTCCTGGACATGGCCAGACCCGCGGCGCTCCCCTTCACTCTTCAGGCCTCTCTCTGCCCTGTTACCGCACCCCTGCCTCTCACGCATGCGCAGAAGCTGGGCTTGTCTGCAGTCTCTGTCTTCATCCCAGGCCTTTGGTCACGCGCGTTCCCGGGTCCTATTGCAGGCACCTGTGCACTGTCTTCTCCACACCATGCACACACACAGATCTCTTCCTTGTGTACACACTCGTTTTCACATGGTCACTGTCCTCTCCTCCTCTTTCACCCTGCCTTGCTTGTCACTTCCCTTGCACACAGTCACCCAAACACATTGGTACATTCAACCCCCTGCCCTGCTGTGTAAGTGTTCACATCTGCAAGAAGGCAAGCTCATGCTGAGCCCTCTGCTCCTTCCCGCAACCAACATCAGCATGAGTGTAGCCTGCGATACAGGGAGGAACTAGATAGCAACAGGTGTCGCTGATGCCCAGGACGTGAGACCCAGCAATGTCACAAAGTCTTGCTTTCAGTGTCTGCAGCAGGCAGAGTCAGGGGCAGCCCAGCACCCACCATTTTCAGGGACCCAGGCCTGATCACGACTGAAGGCCCTGTGGTACACTACCCCGCCTTGGTCCTGCCTTGCAGAACTGCAGAGGCCCCTGCACGCATGCGTGTGTGTTCAGGTGTGGTCCACAACCCGAGCTAGTGGCTGCCCTTTGGGCACCTCTCAAACCTAAGGTACCAAAGCAGGAGATAGTATACCCTCACTCAGAAGGGTTTTCCTGAGGAAAGACCCCTGCAGCCATCAGGCTATTTGGCTGGGGAGCTCTGTAGTCCTGGTAGCCAGAACATGGCCTGGAAAGGGCATGAGCACCAAGCAGTCGTCAAGTCCAGATGGGAACATCTCCTGGGCTTTGTGGACATCTCACCCCATAGGGAGTGGCATGGCCCGAGAAGGGGGAGTTGAGGGCTCAGGTCAAAGGACAACACTGATCTGGAAGGCAGAGTAGCTCCAGAGTCCCCTT